GAGAGAGAGAGAGAGAGAGAGAGAGAGAGAGAGAGAGAGAGAGAGAGAGAGAAATGCACAAGTCTTAGAAGCTCTTGGGATCAAAATGACTTGATTACTTGGTTTAAAGAACTCATCTGTAACAGGCGTAACTTAAGAGCAGTGCAATAGAGAATGGAGAAAACCAGTGATATCCAGATGAATTATCCTTTTTGCTGAATTTGCCTCTTGGTGATTTCAGGGCCATGTTCGAATAGTTTGGCAATACTACAGAACTGATTTCCTATTGCTTTTATCTAGACCATTCTTTTAACCTCCCACTCTAGTCTAGAGCCTGGGTGTTTTCTGGTCTCCTCCCATCAAGTAGTAACCAGATCTTACCCTGCTTGGTTTTCAGAATTTTATACCCAGAGGTACACAGTTATAGCTGAAAATGAACTCTGTCTCAGAGACAGGAAATCTTTGGGTGGCCTGAGCCTACAATTTGATGGGAGGTCTATCATGAGCAGGGGGACAAAATAAAGCCAATGAGGTTACATCATAGCCGTCAACATGACTGGGATTTTTCTCCCCATTTTTTTTTCTTTTTTTGAGTTGGGTAGAGTTTGTAAGCGTTTGTGTTTTTTCACCTATGTTAATTCTATCTGAGAGATTACAAGTTTGTGTTTTCCCTGCCTTAAATTGGCAAGTTATTGTGCTGTTGCTTCTCAGCAGTTCTGCTGCTCTGAGACTGTAAATGGTCTAAATATAAAGGATAGAGGAATCAGAATAACACTGTTAGCTCTACTAGGACAAAGAGCTCCATCAAGTGCAATGTATCAGCTTATTATCGTATTATCAGTTTGTCCTATCAAAATAATGAGACAATTTAAGATGGAGAATTTAATCAACAAAATATCTAAAGTGGAAGCTGTTGTAGAAATGGGTAATTTCAGTTACTCGCATAAAGACTGGATAAATATGTGCTCCAGACACAACAAAGAACTGGACATTTTAGATTATTGTGTCCCATAACAATTGTTCCTGGGACCAAACAGAGCCAAAATTGGTTCAGATTCAAGTGCTGAACCCATTGTTACTAAAGTCAATATTTCAGTTATGTACAACTTGATAATTGCACAAAAAAGGCCTTTTTTTTTTTTTAAGAGAGTGGGAGGCTTGAAAAATTAAGGATAAAGGGGAAAGTTGAGAATAAAAATGAAACAGATCAACTATCTCCAGAAAACTAGGAGCAGGTCAAATGACAATAATACATATTTCCTGTAGGTGAGGAATGAAAAAACAAAGACCAGATGAAGCATGGAAGAGGAGTAGAATCTAGAAAGTTAATGAGGTGAGAAATCTTCCTTGAGAAAAAGGAAGTTACGGCTACAAACCTGCATTAAATTAGAATATCTATGGAAGTATGTGGACTGTCTTTCTAGATGCTTCTGTTATTGCTGATTTTCAGATTAAATTATTGTCTCAAGAATGTTAATCAATATGCTCTTATAAACTTATAAATAGAATGATTAAAATTACAGATAACCCTGACTTTTATACTAGCTGCAAAACTATTCATTACACTACATAATTCTTACAGTTATTAAAGAGGTGAATACAACACTATTATGAGAAGATTCAATTCTAAGGAAGACCTTATATGTCCTAGTTAGATGATTCGTGATGTTACAAAGACAAAACACAGGAAGCTTTTAATTGAACAACAACTTGAAATGGGGTCACTTTCAAATTGTCTTGGGGCTCCTTAAAAGTTAACATACATATATATGTGTGTGTCCTTGTATGTGTGCGTGTATCCCACCTTAGGCACAAAGCCACCTGGGTGACTTAGGGCCAGTCCCTCTCTCTCAGCCCTAGGAAGAAGGCAATGGCAAACCACTTCTGAAATCTTGCCAAGAAAACTGCAGGGACTAATCTAGACCGTCATCAGGAGTCAACACTCTTAACTTGAAGGCACAAATACACACGCACGCACATTTTAATGTGGGCATGGTTAGTTTTTAGAAAGTGATATATATTATAATGTGTGTGTGTGTGTATAAATAAAATAAAAGACTTTGAGCTGAACAAACAAATAAGGAAAAGCTGGCAAGAAAAGAGATACTGTGCATGAAGAGGGCTATGATTGGGGGAACAACATTAACCAATCATAATCTGTTGGACTGCAACTTAGATTTTATTTAGAAAGTATGTGTTGACAGCAATGTATATTGACTTCTGAATATGTGGATTTTTGCTCAAATGAGCATGTACTTACGTAAAAAAGCACAGAAACATGTAGTATGCAACCATTACAATTCAAATTTATTTTTCAGAGCCTAGTGCAATTTGAGTCTGAAAAACAAAGACAGACAAATACCTGGGCCATAAAAATGCTGTTCAGCCATTCAAGCTGAGAATCCGGCCCGTCACAACACAAATACCTAGAAGACAGATTAACACGAATTCACTTCCGGTGCCATAATACACTCACTCCTCATGCAATTCTGAAAGAGAAACCCTTAGCTGCCTGGAAGCTAAGCCCTCATGAGCCAGAATAAGTTACGCCACAATAAAGAACATAATATAAGCGTGGTTGAGATATATATTACATAGGGTGTTGAGACATATATTACATTGCAATCTGGGAAGGCAGATGTTATTATTGCTAGATAATCAATTTTCATTGCTAGATTTCCTATTCCTAAAAGAGCTAGTCTGCTGCAATTAATCAAGCTTTAGCCTGAACTAGGCACACATGATCTCAGTATCTGCTTAGCCATAAATCTCTTTGGGGAAGCCATTCTCTTTCAGCTCATTAGATTGTTGGGAAACAAAAGAGAGCGAGCGCCACGTATGTCATATATTTTATATTAAACTGATTGATATATGTTTACACTGGTATACATACCCATAAAGCACACCCACATAGTTAAAGGAAGCATTCAAGTTTACAGAACAATTTATGTGACTCCTATCTTATGATTACCGATAGATTTGCTGCGACTGCAATTGTTCAGATGTAGGATAGTGGGTACTATGGTTGGTACTAAAGCAGCCATGTCTTTTCAGGCTTCCATACAAACTTAAACAAAATGTCACTGCTTTAAAGAGCTCACTTATTATACTTAGTAAGATTATTAAAGCAGCAACATCTTTTTTTCCAGGCTCATAAAGAAGCTGGGGGGAGACATGGCTGCTTTAATGAACAACAAAGAGGTGCTATGCTCAGGTGAGGTCCAAAATACTTATTCCACCAAATCATGTTCAAAGAATACACACCCCTATCTAGTAATTTACTTACCAATGATACTTTTCAGACAGCAGTGTTAGGCCCCAGCTGAAAAAGCAAAACAAAACATCATTCATAGATAGATAATGGTGTAATTAAGAAATACAAGACGACTAATACTTCAAAAGCAGAATTCTTACTATCCTGTTCGGAGTGCCCACAGATCATACACAGACCCTACCATAAATTTAGGAGAATCATAAAATTTCAGAGGCTGAAGTTTGGTTTGGTTTGGTTTTTTTGTGCACTGCTTGAACTTTTGTGGAAAGGATGGACAGTGTGGGTGTAGGGGTGCAAGCACAAATAAAAATCTGCCACTCTGAAACTCTATACGAAACCACTGTTTTAAATTTTGGTTTGGAGTTAACCGTAACTAATGAAATGTAAGACTGTCAGCAGAGGAAGAGGAAGCAGAGATAGCAGCAGTTGTAGCAAGCTTAAGTGATTGGGCAACATGATGTCTGAGACCCCATCATATATCTTCCCTGTTTCTGAGCTGATAGACAGTCACGCTCATGTTTCATCTGCCTACGACTTCTGCATTCTGATCTTTAGCAGTGGGATAATTTGATCACATAAGCAATATGTAGGAGATAGCATACGGAGATTAGAAATAGCTGTTCAATAAAGTAATTTCTTAACACCAAAGTAATAATGCAAGCCCCAAAATAACTAATATTATGGAACTGTGGCTTATCAGAGACCAGGCAATAGATACAGATTAGCTCCGTTATTTGGTTCGGTTGTTCAAAGCTTTATGTTCCTGTATCCTAACAACATCAACAGCAAAAAGCAAGCATGCTTCTGGATGAAAAAAAGGCAACACAGTTTTCTTGTCTCTTTCTTACTTCGTTGGCGGTTTCAATTTTTTCTTCACCCCGAGATAAAGCTTCAGTGATTTGACAGGAAACACTTTCTCAGCTTTGCTACTCTGTTGAGGTTGAGAAATGACTGTTAGTGGAACAGAAACTAACAAACAAGGCCTTCAGATCTGCTTATCTTCTGAACATCCTGTTAAAGTTTTGCAAAATAGGTCACTTCGTTTCTGATGAGTTCATCTCTTTACTAGCATGTGGGAACAAGTGGTGGCATCTGACCAAGCTTGTGCAGGCTTGGGACCCAAGGAGGTTCGATCTGGCTAGTACATGGATGGGAGATCTCCATGGAACATCAGTGCTGTAGTCTACACAGAAAAGATTTTAAAAAGTAACACACTTACGCCGGGAGAAGATGAAAGCAAACCATGTATGTACTTTTGCTAAATGAAAATGAAATTATTTCTGCAGCCTCAGATATTTAATTTAATAATTTATTATTATATTGTATTATTATAATGTATATTATATTATTATAAATACATTATGTAAGTTGATAATAGTTTGATAATTTGGATTGTGTTGTTGCTATTGGTTTTACTCCTTGTACATTGCCCAAAATCATTGCCATGAGATGAATGACTCTATAAATCATTTAAATTAAATTAAATTAAATTAAAATGATATAGGGATATACATAGAATCATCAGAAATTGGGCTCAACTTGATGGAGAGTTTTTACCATGTGTGTCTGACATAACCTCTATGTCCTCAGCCATGAGGTCATAGTTCTGCTTTCTCTAGTATTCTGGGGAGGTGAAACTTTCTGGCTTCAGTAACCTCACAGGTGATGTCTACAAACTGCATTCATATATTCCTCCATCAGTTATTTCACGCACACACAATCTTGACCTATTGAGATGGACAGTTAAGAGACTTCCCACAGGAATGTTCCCAATTTCACTGCTATTAGAATTAAACAGATATCAAATTACTCCAGATCAGTTGGCAGACAGAAAGAGTTAACCTCATCCTTCCTTCCCACTGGAGAGAAACAGAGTACATGAGAAGAGAGCTGCTGATAAACACAGTCCCGCTGAGATGTTCTTACATATTTCAATTTCTGCTCCCAACTTCCTGCATGGCCATGCATGGAAGATTCTTAGATGGAGCTTCTGCCTGTCTTTTCCAAGGTCAAAGAGAAGGATGTCACAATGGGCTGTCATGTTATTCTTTGTGCACTCAACATAGAGATGCTAGAAAAGCAAATATTTTCTTGAGGCAAATTCCTCTATGGGAGAAATCCCATAATTAAATAGTAGAGTTTAATGTGTCAATGTGTTTGTGATGACATGGAAAATTAGAGGTCTCCTGAAATTCATTTTGCAGTTTTCTTGTAAGAGGCGAAAAATACCTGTGGGAATCTAAAGTACTGAAATAGAGTGTCACAGTGACCCTACCTATTTTAAAGCTCAACCATGCTTAGGGATGACAGTATGAAACATTATGTGTCATTTAGGCAAAAATTAGCTCAGTTCAGAGCACTCTCTTTCTCTCTCTTTTTTTCCCCCTCAGAATTTCATGGCTAATTGGGCTTTCAGTATTTCAAAAACGATTCCTAACCAATTCGGCTGCAGTAATAAAAGCATCCATTCATGCAGCAGAAATGTACTTATTAATCTAGATATGAGGAAGTGATCACTTTTTAAAAATAACAGTGGTGTTTTTCTGTGTGTGTTTTTCTTTTTTTCTTGCCAGGCAATTAATGTAAGATTATGCATAATAAAATAAACACAACCACTTTGCCGACTTCATGAGTTTCCAAAGATTTGTAGTGGTGCGTTTCAGACAAGCAATTAATTACAGGGGAAAGGGGAATAAAGAAATGTGTAACAAGCCAAAGGGGAGCAAGCAGAAGCTTTTTGTTAGGTAGCTCCAATCTTGCTTTTCTGTAAGTAATGATCTAGAATTTATGCAACATGCTTTATGCCTTAAGAAAAGAAGTCTAGAAAGATAAAAGTAAATTTAAAGTGTACAAATTAATGTTTATATGGATTCCCCAGAGCAGGAATTATGTTAGGACCTTCTCTCCGTAATATTAAATTCCTCATTTTACTACATAACTTGTCAACATGAAAGGCAACCTAATACTTCTCAACCTTGGCAACTCGAAGATGTGTAGACTTCAACTCCCAGAATTCCCTAGCCAGCAAGGCTTGCTGGGGAATTCTGGGAGTTGAAGTCCACACATTTTCAAACTGCTGTAGAGTGAGAATGACAAACATTTCAACAACTGGGGAGAGTATGCTTTCCCCAGCCTCACGCTTAGTGGTGGTCTCAGGGTGTGTCTATCCAAATCAGTAAGATGGGATGCAAGCCCTGCCTCTTTTGAAGCAGAGTTTCCTCGCAAGGAACCTTGGGAGGAAGGGGAAGGGCTTGCCTTATGATGCTCTGGGCACCATCTTGCCAATTTTGACCCACCCCTGCTAATATCCTCCAAGTATGTTAGAATTGCCATTCCCGTTCTTCACAGATAATTCATTGGTAGGGATGGAGGAAGGGGAACTAGGGATGGGATGGTATAATCTGGCCACTTTCTGAATTTATCAAGATGACACACATATCAGTTCATTCTGTGTCTATGGATGCCCAGTGCAACTGTTACAGGACCACTGCTACCTGCTACACATCAGCACATTCCTGCTGCATGAGAAGGTAAGTTGGTTTGAAACATCTCTAACAATGGTCGGTCACAAGAAATTCAGGCTAATGGTCTTGGGCTACACCATTCAAAGCTCAAAGAGATGGTCTGCTTATCTGAAGAAAAGGAAACACCTCTCTTAACAGCACTTAAACTTGGGGTTTGGAACCACTCCCCAATCCACGTCACATCCCCGTGATCACCGTCTTTCTGGCTTGGCTGCAGTGCAACACAAATAAGAAATATTCTGATTTCCAGCTGGGGAACATATTCTTTTCCTAGGTTTTCAACTCATGACTCCTATCTGTTCCCCCTCCTACCCACATTTAGGGTTATTCTGTTCTCCTTGGGGCTAGACAAGTAAGGGACAGCAGGGTGCCATTTTTATACTTTTATCATCATCGTGCAATTGGTTAGCTGGAAGGAACATTTATGGGAGTTGCTTGTTCATTTCTTTGTTATAATATTTATATATTACCCCAGTAGTCAGAGTTAGAGCTATTTGCAATGAATAGAAACCAAATAAGAAAATTAGTTGATTATTGTCAGAAGACCCCAATGTAAAACAAAACAAAATACAAAATTTAAGGTCTGATTACTCTGAGCATGTAATTACATATTTCCATCAGATTACACAGAAACTTTCAACAATGCTGAACTGTTAATCATATACCAAGAATAATAATTCAGACCTTTCTAATTAACTCACAAGTCTAGCCCTTGCCAGAAATTTGGCTGTAGCAAGAATCACTGTGACATTTATAGCAGATAACAAAAAGTATGTATTCTGTATACTAATTTGATTTTGAGACAAAAAATAATATTTTTATGCTGGTACCCTTTTGTACTATATACTTATTACACGGAAATGAAAGTGGACAATGGAAATGGATTCTCTAGTCTTTTAAGACCAAGTTATGGCCCCAATTATCCAGTAGATTGAAAACTTGATTATACTTGAGACTTATGAACCAGTTGCTTACAAACACAGATTATGGATGAATGATTGCAAAGAAATATGGTCATCCTTTATTACAAACACACACACACACACATATATATACAAAAATCAGCTCAAATTATCCTATTTCGGACACATTACACAAAGACCTACGTCTCTGGAAAAGGTCCTAATGCTGGGAAAGGTGGAAGGAAAGAGAAGAGGATGACCAGCAGCAAGGTGGATGGAACCAGTTTTGAGTGCACCACTGGGAGACTTGAAGGTTAGGGATAGATCATCATGGAGAAGGTCTATCTATGTGATCGCTAGGAGCTGAAAATGACTTGATGGCACATAATATCTATCTATCTATCTATCTATCTATCTATCTATCTATCTATCTATCTATCTATCTATCTATCTATCTATCTACCTACCTACCTACCTACCTACCTACCGAGAAGTCCTGAGATACATAATTTGTTGCATTGCTTTCTTACTCTTTTTTTCTATTGTTTCAGTCTTTTTCTCTTTGCTCTGTTTTATAAAATAAATAAAGCCCTAAAAACACATATTCAAAATTAGATCGGCCAGCTATTTTTTTTAGTATGGATGAAATCAAGCGCTAGAAATTTGCAAACCAAGAGAACATGCTCCATTAACTCTGCCTCTTCGCTTTTGGAAGGACAAACTCCGTCTGCAGCCTGCACGCTCATAAAACATTCCTAGGGCTTTGAGGCTGTTGTGCTAAGAACACACGCAGGTTGGCTTCAAACTCTTTCTGTTGGGTTGGGAAGTAAAACTAGGTGCTGTGGAAGTACCTCTAAAAATAAAAGAGTATAGCCATCCTACCAGATACGTTGGGTTTTCAATTACCAGCAAGTACAACTGAATACGTGAATAGGAATGAGTGATGGGCTACAGCGTCTGAAGGAGAGCTAAATTGAAATTTTATACCACTGCTCCTTTTCTGAAAAGGAAAAAAAGAAACTTCTCCCTCTTTTGTCACTGAAACACATTTTTATGCACACTATGTATATGCTCTATTTTTTTTAAAAAGGTAAGAATATGAACATTTTAATAAGAAGAATGACATTTAAGACAGTTTATGATAAACACTTGCCGAGGGCTAATTAAGACTTCAGTTCTGCACCCAGTTGTGTGTGCATAAGATTTAAAGATGCCAATTTCCACCTGTGGATTATAGTGCTAAATAATTAGATATAATTTGGGGGGAGAAATGTATAAGGTCATTTACAAGAACAGCTGGCCAGATATTTTTTAATGCCACTCTTCAAGAAAAATACTATCAGACTTAGTTTCGTATCTTTTTATGAAATGCATCATTTGGTGAACAGTGTCTAATTTATAGTAATATTTAGATAGACGAATTCCACGGGGAAAATGTGATGGGCAAAAAGTAGGAAGTCTTGGATAAATTAAGCCAGGATTTGAATTATTCAAAAACCCTGGTGTTTTCAGCTAAACAGAACAATGCATTTGGTTTGGGATGCATTTTAAGCCCAGTTCACATGGTAGAAAAATCTGTCCATCCCGCTCTGCAGATAACTTCCAATATTAGCTCAGCTGAATGCCATAATGAACATGGTGGCCATGTTGCTGACATGATGTCTATTGATGTTTTTTCCTTAACAAAGAAGCATATCATACTCATGCCAGATATTAGATGAATGATGAAAGGGAAGAAGCACGTGCAAAAGCTACCATCCCAAGAAAAGGATAAATTGAGATTATACTTAGTTCCATGATGGCCATTCACAAGGACTGGATCCAAAATTTACCATTTGTGTTGCATTAACTAGGAAGAAGTAGCACCTCTTTCCAATTGCCTGACTTGTGCTTATTTGGAGCAAAGCAAAGTATTATATAAATACTGATGAACCAAGAAGGACTAGTTTTAAAGAAAAGAACAAAAAATGTTATATTGAAATTGGAACTCCAAAAGAACAAATGATCTCTAGGCACGTTCATATTAAGGTATCTCTCTGAAATATATTGTTGAGTTCCATGGATGAAATTCAATAACCGTGATGAATCTACAACGTGGCTGTCTGCATATGCTCTTCTTCCCCAGAATCTTGATGTGGGAAACAGATTCAGTTATCATTAGATTGGCTTGTGGAGTAGCAAAATCAATTAATCATCAGTTAGCCCCTACTTTTTTCCCACCAGATCCTGTTTTTCCTTTTGTCTGGATTCAGCACTGTAATGTTCTCATAATGGATTCTTGCCTGTCTTAGGCTTTACCTTCATAGGACCCATCTTGTCATGTATAGGAAGATGGAAGAAAGTAACCATCTTCTGTCCTCCAAACTACTCAAACCAACCACTCAAATTCCACAACTGAGGGCCCTGTTAAAAATTTTGAGTATCAACCTACATCCATTTGTCAAGTGTGTCTGACTTCAATGTTGCATTAAAGAACATTGTTGCAGAACGCTAAAAAAGAATCCACTTTAGGTTTTCACTGTTCACTCCTCATCCTGCTACTAACCAAAGGGTTTCCCCACTATCCACATAATCAAGAGAAACACAACAACCTCCAAGATCAGTCTGTCAAAACTCCTGGAAAAGGAAGGGGTGGAACTGGGTGTGAGTTTAAAGGGCTCAATATCAGCATTTGTACCTTCAGGTCCTTATAAAGCCGCAAATTTCCTTCCCGTAAAACAAAATAACGGTCTTGAAACTTATTTGCAGACAGTAGTTTGGATGGTTCTTCTTTATATTTCAGGTAGCTGGCTTTGACAGTGTCTTTTGAAGTTTTCTCTGTTGAGATGATTAAAAAAAGCATTTGGTTCACAACCTTCTTTTTTATATATTATATAGCGTATTACATTTTATACATCTTAACGTTAATCTGGGGAAAAAACCAAGAATAAATAATTGGAGTTGTTCTACATTATTTTAGACTTTTTCGCTCTTGGAAGGTATCTTGTTTGTGTGAAATATATTATCTTTAGCTACAATTAAACATTATTCTTCAAGACCTAATTTAAGGGCACTGCAACAACCTGGGAAGTAACCTATCTTTATTAACCAGAGTTCATTCATATGATCCAAGCAAACATTTAAAGCAACCTTTTGGCTGGACTGAGTCCAAGATCGTACAGTTCTTCCTGGCAGATATTTCCACAGAACCTTCTAAGAAAGTGTCTAGGTTCTTCTTGTTGTTATGGCCTTTCAAGTCAATCTTTACTCTTAGTATCAGGTTTGCTTAGCAACATTTTCAAGTGGTTTGACTTTTTTACTTCTGATAGTTTTGTGATGAGGTGAGTGGCCCCAAGTCATCCGTTTTGATGCCTCCAAGAAGAGTACAATTCAGATATCCCTGTTCCTGGTCTGTACCCCAAACTAGCTCTACTCTCGGTTCTTCTCCACTGAATCTGAAATCAGAAGTTAACAGACTTAAACTCACTACAGCTGGGATTAGCCAGCCAACATTTTACAGATTAAAATGGTAGATTTCTATTATTTATAAATACTGCTTGCTATTTGGATTTATGCATATATCTTATTCAGTTCTATGTGTTTTTAATTTATTCTGCTTGTTCTGTATGCAGTTTTCTTTCTTTTCATTTAATTTTTGACTTTAAGTAAACAAATAAATGGTAATTCCTTCTACTTGTCAGCCTCTCCACTTGATAAGATGAATAATAGGTCATTTTGTATCTGTGAATCTGTGCATATATTACATCACTACTATAGAGAATAAGATATGGAAAATCAATATACCTAAATTAATCTTGGGTGAAGATTGGTTCACTGAATGTTTGGAACCTTAAGCAGAGATAAGAGCAAAATTATAAATCAGGGTTAAACACTCTTGGTTTGAATTTAATACTAAAGTTCCCTTTCTTCCTCTCCCCAAAATTGGAGGCCTGCCTGCCATCCCAATCCCAATCCCAATCCCAATCTCTCTCTAACTCTCAGTAGTAGTTTATTAATATGTCTAAATCTAAACAATCAGCAGTTAAATCTGAACTATGATTTATTGGAAAATGACAATTTTGCACTATAGGGTCTATAATTGGTTTGCTCCCAAAAGACAGAATTAAGACTAATCTTAATTTAGACTTTAAGTGTCATGATAAAGCTGCAGTTCACTAAAAAATGTTAATTCTTTCTTATGGCTGCATGAGGGGCAGAAAGTTCATCATCTTATAACTTGTGCTTATGACACCATCTAGTTTAATTCCTTCAAACCCAATCAAATTTTGAAAAGACATTATGTAAATGGGCCTGGAACTCCATCTATTTATTGAAAGGACAACTCTTCAAAAATAGAATAAAATGGGATCAAATTTGTTTGGGAGAGAAATCAAAGCAAAATCATTATCACCATCACCACCACCACCACCTTCCAATGCATCCCTACAGAAGGAGTTAGGCAGTGGCTCAGAAAGTTGCTGATTGTTTTATTCT